TGGGAGTGTAGACTGATGCAACCACTGTAGAAAAACGTGTGAAGATTCCTCAAAAAGCTAGGATTAGAGGTTTGATTCGACCCAGCTATTCCTCTTCTTGGTATTTTTCCAGATGAATTGAAAACATCATTAAATCTGTATAACAGTTTTGGGAATATGGCCATTTTTACAGTGTTGGTTCTTCTTATCCATGAGCAACGAATATCTTTCCAAAATCCATGATTGTCTCCATTGTCCCAGGTAACCTTCCAGGAATACTAACAGGGTTATTATTCAGGCCTTCTGTATTTTAGTTCATCCTTCCCCTCCTGTATTACTACGTCATCGTAGTGATATGTACACACACACAAGGTAGATATGCAGGAAAAGATTAAACTCTCGGCCCTAGAGTATGTTCTTCTGTAGGGTACAGAATCATGAAGTTTTTGTGCTCAGGGAAACACAAAAGTACTTATTAGTATTTATAATCTATTGGTCCCACATCTTTCATGTTTTCATCCTGCTCCACATGCTACCTCAGTGTGTGAGTCTGTGCCTGCAGATTATCATTACAAGATACATAATATATAGTCATTTTTCTCTTAATTGATTCTAATACTTAATGTGGTAGCAATTAGAAGCACATACCATTTATAATTGTTTTGATTTTTAAAAATTAAAAAAGAATAATCTATTATAAAAACTCTGTTTGGGACTTTTTTCTTTCTGATTTACAAATTTTCAGATTATTTGGATTTGGGACAATTTAATTTAAAAACAATATGTCCTATAGATGCTTCTAGTTTGTGGACAAAGACTCCTGAAGAGATTGAAGAAAAAAGAGTAATAAAGGAGATGTGCTATAAATCTGGTAAGAACTTAAACATTTGCAAATTTTCTAATACTTGATGTGATATATACTTGATGTGCTCTGTACTAAACTTTCTTTCCGTATGGGACATCTAGGCGAATACTACAGATTTCATACTCCTACAGATGCTTCACCATCAAAAAGCACAGCTCCTGTAGTGGAAAAAGAGCTAGAAAAGCCTTTGGAAAATGGCAGTGAATTGCAAGAAGGTAAGAAATGAAAAGCAAGTATATAAGACACACTTGGTGTAATATGCTGTGAATTATTTGGCAAAGATAGATAATACATAGGATTTAAAAGAAAGGAGGAAGTGCTTCAAGTTTCCCATGAAACTCTGCTACTAATGTAATGATGTGTTCTTAGAGGAGCTAGGGAATAAATAAACATCATAAACCCATGGTGGCACTATACACCCCATCCAGTAATTCTGTACATGACTTGGTTTTACCATTTTATCCATTTATGAAATAGATGTTTATGTGAAATAGGTCAAGTTTTTATTTCTAAACAGCAAAGATAATCTAGCCCAAGAAGGACAATTTGGAGATCACAGAATCACTTTATTTATTTTTTTATTTTAAAAATAAAAGGAGGAAAACATTGACAGACAGACAACCTTTTACAAAATAGCAAAAGAACAGTACAGACAATAAAGAGTTACAAACAAAGTGGTAGGAAATTAACAATGCTTCTTGTATTACATATTGATATCTTCAAAGTGTTTTTTCATGAAAACAGATAGAGACATGCAATACTGATCAATCAAGGACTCATTGACAGTTTCTTTCAGCAAAGAAATAGAAGACAGGAGAACAACTATGTTAGCTATCCTGTATATACATACATACAAAATTTCTCCTTCTTTCCCTTCTTTTTTCCCACACCCCAGTTGCCCTTTACCCTTGAGTGTTTTCCTATCATTTCACAGTGTCTATCATACCTCCTAGTTTAAATTAACTCTTTCAGGTTTTACACTAATGAAACAATGCAGTGATTGCACATGCAAGTCTGATTTATTTCACTTATGAGTATGGTCTCTAGTTGTGACCATTTACCTGTAAAGGCCTTGAGTTTATCTTTCTTTATAGCTGAGTAATATTCCATTAAATAAAAGTACCACAATTTTCTTATCCAATCCTTGGTGGATGGACATTTGGGTTGCTTCCACAATTTAGCAATTACAAATTGTACTGCGATGAACATAGGTGCACACATATCGCTGTGATATGATGCTTTTAGATGTTCTGGGAAAATACCCAGCAGGGGGATAGCTGGGTTGAATGGGACCTCTAGACCTAGTTTTCTGAGGAATCTCCAAACTGATTTCCACAGTGGTTTCACCAGTCTGCATTCCCACCAGCAGTGGAGAAGACCTTACCAGCATTTGTTATTGGTTGATTTCTTAATGCTAGCCATTCTTACTGGGGTAAAGTGGGATCTCAATGTTGTTTTAATTTGCATTTCTCGAATGACTAATGATGTTGAACATTTTCTCATGTATTTATTTGCCATTTGTATCTCCTTATCTGAGAAGTGTGTATTCATCTCCACTGCCCATTTTTGGATTGGGTCTTTGAATTTGGAGGGGCTGATATTTTTTAATTCTTTATGTGTTCTAGATAGAAGCCCTTTGTCTGAGGGACAATCAGCTAAAATTTTTTCCAAGTTTGTGGGTTTTCTTTTGACTCTGCTGGTGATTTCTTTAGATGTGCAGAAACTTTTCAGTAGGATGAGATCCCAGTTGTTGATTCTTTCAAGTGTTTCACGTGCAGTTTGGTTTTTATTCATGAACTCTCTGCCAACCCCTATGTCTTCGAGGTTTTTACCTACTTTCTCTTCCAATAGATCTAGTGTTTCTGGTTTAATATTGAGATCTGTGATCCATTTTGACTTGAGTTTGGTGCAAGGTGATAGACTTGGGTCTATTTTCAGTCTTTGGCAGGTGGCAAGCCACTTTTTCCAGCACCATTTATTAAAGAGGCTATCGTTCTTCCAGTGAGTTTTATTGGCCCCTTTATCAAAGATTAGGTGTCTGAGTGTGTTTGTGGTTGTGGCTGTTTCTTCCAGTCTGTTCCATTGATCCTCAGGCCTGTTTTTTAGCCATTACCATGTTGATTTTGTGACAGTAGCTTTATAGTATAATTTCAGGTCAGGGATTGTGATTCCACCTGACTTGTCCTTGTTGCCCAGGATTGCTTTTGCTATTCTGGGTCTCTTCTGGTCAGAATCACTTTAGTAGTGGAACAAAGGTGTATTTGCTGAGTGAACTTGTGAGTGTCTTCTGTATGCCAGGCAGTTTCAGGGCTCTGTATCTCTTTCAAGGAGCATTTTCTTGGCACATTGGATTTAGCTGGCTTTGGGGAACACTTTACCTTTTAGGCAAGATAAAAAGTGCATCATATTCTGGATCAAAACCAGGAACACAGGAAAATGTGTGGGTGGCATGAGTTTATATAATTTTCTTGCCCTTAGGATGAGTTTAAAAACGCATTTTGGAGTAGTAGGAGAGAAATGAAACCCTTGCTTCTCTGAGGGTGGAGAAGGAAGTGAGAGGGTAGAGGGAGAAGAGAGAGAAGGGGGAGAGAGAGAGGAGAATGGATGTTGGGAAAGTGTGAGTGTCAAAGTAAGTACAGATGAAATCTGAGGTATAGAACAGAGCACCTAAACTGTCTTGTGAGGCAAACTATGTGAACATGCACCGCTAGGTGGCAGCAACAGACTGTCAGAGCGTGAGAACAGGCTGACTGCCTTTGTGCTAATTTCACAAGTAGTACAGACTGCAAGCCCACGCTACTCAGACAAGATAAAAGCAAAAGTTAGCAATAAATATTAAAAAGGAAAGCTTACACAGTCAGTCATTTATATTTTGCTTTGTAGTATGCTTTCAAGAGCTTCTCATTTGTAGTTTCAACCAGTTCCTGACACCCTTCACCTAGATCTCTCCCAAATGTTAGCATTTTAGCTTTTGAATTTTCACTGTCTAAATATACATGCTGCTAGTATTATTTTCTGAACTGTTTGAGCATATGAGAATAAATTCTCAACATGGTGTTCCTTTTCTCTTACATTCCCGTAGTATAAATATCAAAATTAGGAAATTACTCTGGTAAATTATTTACAGTTCCTCTTCCATGTTTCCATTAATTGTGCTGTTAATGTCCTTTATAGCAAAAATAATTTTTTTTACTTGTACAGATCCAATTCATTACCATACGTTACATTAGGTTGACATATAATTTTTTCTGCTTTTGACAATGTATTTTAGGAAAAGTTTCTTAGAGATGTACAGGGAAAACTTAACTATCATGGTATCATTAGAATTTTGTAATTCATAGTGACTTGAATACTTTTCACTTGATTGTTCATGGTAAATAGATAAAAACAGAAGAAATACTGTAAAATTCATTACATGAAAAATCAAATTAACTATGGTATGTATACAAATAGTTGTAGATTACTTAATTTTTTCAAGTTGCCATTTGATTATAATCTAAACAGGATAATACACTTGCTTGCTTTGTTGGCAGTGATGAAACTTTGCTTAAAATTAATGTATTTATATATTGTTTATCAGATTACTATGCAAACTATTTATGTTCAATTTTAAGCTCGTGTTTTTCTTTATGTAAACTTCTTCTTTAAGGTTTTAATGGTTCCTGGGGTGACTTGTTATTTCCTTTCCCCCTACTTTCTAGGAGATGGACTTACAATTCCAACAAAATTTAGCCTAGCTGAAAGGCAAGGTGAGACAAAAATATCACTGGATGGGAAACCAAGGACTGACATTGCTGCTTTTGAAAATGGAGGTGAGTCAATTTCTTAGAGAGAGAGAGAGAAAGAGAAAAAGAAGAGAGAGAGAGAATTCTTATTCCCAGTAGCTATATTTTATAATGTTAATAAGAATGCTAAATTAGCAAATACTGGACCACTGTTCCTAAGGCAAATTTGTGCACACACACACACACCCCACATATATATACATCTCCTCACATAAACTCAAATCTGAAATCATAGGAGTTACTCATCTTAGTGGATTCTATTTTATCTTAGTAAAGGGAAAACAAGGTTCAGAAGCATTAAATGACTTCTGAGGCGGTTGCACCAACAGATGTCAGAGCTGGAGTCTTCGCACTCTGCCCCCTTGCCTCACCGTCTCCATTCTCTGGCCATCTCCGCTTAAAAATTGGAGCAAGACTGCTGAGCCTTTCACCTTGCTGGACCTCAGCTAGTAACGTGGGTGTCCAATGACTTAATTTTTTTTTTACTATGGTGCATGTTTATGAAAAACAATGAAAGCATCTGAGTTTGGGGTTTGACAGACATTGTTTCTAGCTGATGGATGTTATGAATATTTTTGTACATGTTTCCTAAAGATACATGCATTCATTTTCTTCGGATGAAGCTTGCTTTGTGTCTTTGGCAATCCTTTGTATTTTCAGCCTTTCTGATTTTAGGCATTCTGGTGGGTAGTTCATGGTATCTCACTGTAAGTTTAATTTGTATTTTTCTGATAACTAGGTTGGACACTTCTACATTAGTTTATTGGCCATTTTGACTTCCTTTTTTTCTTAAATTTCATTTTTATGTCTTGACTACACTTAAAATTATTTTTGTCTTCTTATTTTAAGCTGCTGTCCTGATGACTCTCTTTGTTTCTGCCTTTAATTCCATGTATTAAATTTTTAATTTCTATTCTGCCTTTTTGTGTATTTCCACCTTAAATTCTGTATCCATCCTTTATTTTTATATCAGTTTTGTTATTTTTCTAACTTCCTATTGGAAAATATGTAGATCCTTTTCATTTTCCCTTGTTTCTAAATCAATTGTTCTGTTTCTTAGTATGCCTTCTAATTTTTAATTATATGCTTGGCATTTTGCATAAAAAAATCATATAGTACACAAAAGAAGTTGTTTTTCTGCAAGAAAACTCTTGTTTTGGTAGGCAACTAGAATTTCAGCCGGCCACCTTGATTTAGTCAAGGTTTTAGGCTTTAGCAGGAATGCCGTTATAGATGATGTAATACTTCCTCTTTCTCTTGAGATATAGTCCTATAGTCCTTTTTCTGAAGACATGGCCCTTACTCTGAAAACATTACCTTTCCAGGTTTTCCAGTGGAAGTCTGGGTATTTGCCAAGATATTTCTTACCAGGGGCTTCCTTGAACTCTCCATTTTACCTACAAGCAGCATACAGGTGCTGAAATCTCTGATTAGTTTTTTACATCCTGGATTCTCTTTTAACTGGTTTCCAAATGTCCCACGTTGTACACAGAACATGTGGCATCAGGCAGCAACTTAGAACTCATGTATATTTTAGGGGAACTTGTTTGTTATTTGTTCTTCTTTCAGATTTAACCCTCTGGTTCAAGCCGGTTATACGGGTCCAAACTTTGGACTCTTTCCTTTTGTTGGTTGCACACTTTCTGCTTGAGATGCACTTCTCTGCACTGTGCATTAGAAAAGCTTCTATGGAAAAGTGGTGTTGCGAGGGAAGCCTAACGCACTGATGGAAAAAAGCCAGAGTGAACGTGAATGCAGAATTTCCTCACGTGGCTCCATTGCTCTCACGTAGTCCTTTGCACTGCTTTCCAGTCACTTTATTTTTGGTATTTCATATTGTTTTTTGGCAGGAAACAAGCCATTTGATTGGAGCAGAAAGCAATTTTTTTTTGAAATTTTTATAGTTGGTTTTGTCTATACTTCCTGATCCAGGAATCAAATATAATCAACTCTTATAGATAAATCTCTGTAGTAGCAGGCCTGGCACATGATGTGCATTCAATAAATGCTTGTAGAAAAAAATAATTGAGTGTTTAAATGTTGAACTAACCAAGTGAATGGGAACATGTTTATAAAATTTATAGATGCTGGAGGTTAATATACTGGAGCAGTGAGCCAAATATAACAAAGTGAGCAACTAGTGATAAACATCGTCTTACCTTTCTGTTCAAGACTTTAACAATGTCTTTTCTTCACATCAAGAGAATCGGACATGAACTATAGTTTATGAGAAGGAAATGTGCTTTTTAAGGCCATTTTAATTCAGAATAATTAAGCAGTAGTTTTCACTACGAAATAGGCAAGCTTACTGCACACTGAATTATTAGGGGTAATATAAGAAGATAATCAAATGTGATAGGTCACTTCAAGTTCTCAGCGGAGGGCCTGGCACACAGAAAAATGCTACATAAATGTCAGCTTATTATTATATTAGTTCTGGTTTCTCCACAAGCTAGTGTACATTTGGGGGTTATTTTTAAAGGTTATTTGAAGCAAATATATTAAGAAAGCTCAGGTTGGTATAAGTGAAGATTCTGGAAATTTTGTGCATTAGTAGTTTTTAAGGCAGTTATGGATATTTGGCCTGCAAAAATACCTTGAAGAAACATGAAAACTACTTTCATAAATCTGAAAATTTTATTTGGAAGATAAATTACATTTATTCTGAGTATAAAGGTGGAACTAAAAAGTTTTTTATAAATTAATGTAAGTTATTTATGCTGAATACATGAATTCTCTTATAATTTTCTAGATTTAAGTTTATATAGGGTATTCAAATACATATATGTTACTGAAAATATAGTGGATATTTACATTCTAAAAATTGTATGATAGTAAAAATATACCACCACTCGTCTCCCTCAGAATGGCCCCCTTTGCTTCAGACATGCTTACTGTATCATTCTTGCTACTGGAAATCCTTTCTTGTGAACATCTATAGTTACATTTTCCTGGCTGCCCTGTTGTCCTGGATCAATTCAAAACATAACCCTTTTATGGTCAGTTTGATTTAAGGAAGACCTGTAATTTGTACAGTACCAGAGTGAGTGAACAAGGTGGACAAGGACACATGTGTTTTTATGAATCTGTCTTCCTGTTGGATAGTTCTCAGCAGCAATATTCACTATATTTTTAATTATACCTTGTAAAGACATGAAGGAACGTTGGGTCACATGTGTTCAAAGAGAGGGAGAGTATTTTGAGAGGAAGTCATAGCATTCGTTGCTGTAAAAAATTTTTAAAATTTAGACGTTCCCTATATATCTGATCACCCCTTATGTATTAATACACGTGTATTAGTTAGGAATTTCTGACAAGTGTAGAGATGGGGATGGTATCACTGAGAAACAGTTAAACAAAAGTTCACCAAACGACATGGTAGAGGACATTGCTGTACTGAAAGGTAGTTTTGTAGTGCTTTTTGCTGTCATTGCCACTGACCTTAAGGTTTTGTCATAGGAGGTGACTGCTCTGTTCCACAAAGGATTGTATTTCTTGGAGTAGATGAAAGTGAAAGTTTAACTGAAGAGAAAGAAGTCATCATGTCAAAATGCCCAAATACCAAAGGTAATAACTCAATCATATTATTTACCCCTTTGTAATTTTGGATAGAGAAGTTAAACATAGAGCTTGCTTGTTATAGAAGCCAAAATAAGAGGGAAGGTAATAAATCAAACTAAATAGGAGTCAGAAGCCTCAAGCTCCTGCTCCTAGCTTTGTCCCTAATTGTTTGGTCATAGGACTTTCATCTTTTCAGCCTTAGTTTCTTAATCTGAAAAATTAGCCCGTTGGACTACATTATTTCTAGTTTTAAAGTTATTGGTTGTCTTTGGTGATAATACCAAGTTGTGTCCAGTTTTCTTTTTCCAATTTAGAACCACTGAATTTCTTTAGAAAGAGTTATTTGGGAACACTGTGAAGATTATTAATCTTGTGATGACTTCCTCATTTTATGATCTTGCTAGTGATAGTCTGTAAATAACCAAAACATGGGATAAAATATTTCCTCTATAGTTTTTTGCTGCCCTACTGTGTGCTTAGATTCCCTAGCTAGTACCTCTCTGTTGATCACCTTTCTCAATCCCAGACTAAAAATGCAGGTATCTCTCCAAGAAAATTTAAACTTGTTTCCTATTCTGTTTTTTTCTCACCATCAAATATCCTCAAGGATAGGAAAAGGCATTTGTGATCAAATTAAAGTTTTTTCATTGAAAATTATATGTAAGCCTCTTTCTGCCTCTCACTCAGAGATGCAAAAGTTTTTGTCCAACCCATTAAAGGAACTCATAAAAAAACTATACTAACACTGCAGCCACTGGCTCTGTGGGACAGTTTAAATTTAAGTTAATTAAAATTAAAAGTTCAGATTTTCAGATGCACGAAACCATGTACTCTATAACAGCATGTGGGTAATGGCTATCATATCATACAGCACTGATTTAGAAGATTTTTATTGTTGTGGAAAGGTTATTGAATAGACCTATCCCAAAGCTGACAGCAAGTGAAGACTGTTACACTTCAAATATTTTTGAAAACTCAATTTAAATGGACTCTCTTGGTGTAAAATTAATAATTTAATTCTTTTGCATGAAGATATGAAAAATATTGACATAAAGATATCATTTATCTATTGAAGATAATGGCTGGCCATTACAATTTAAAGTTTTATCACTGGTATATGAAACACAGCATGATATACTGGAAATTTAAATAATGTATCTAAAATTAATATGCATACGTATTGAAGAGGTGGACCTGATTGTGTAATGTTCAAAAAGTAGAATTCCAACTGAAATGCTTCTCCATTAATATTGACATTTTATTTTCTTAATTTGCTTTAAAAGATAACAAGGACAGTCCTCATCCAAAGCATTCCTTAACTACCCGACTAGTACCTACCACGCATGTATTAAATGCTACTGAGAATATCAATATGAAGTCCAGGGAGGACATCTCTTCAAGTGAGACATTAGCTCTATCACTTTTAGGCCTTAAATATATTTATCTTCCTTCTGTTCCTTATTTCATTTACTGAACGATAATACTCTTAGCTCTTAGACAGATACTGAAGTGGAACCAGTATGGTTTCCCTCCAAGAAGCTTGCATTACTGTGCTTGTTAAAAATTGTTTCCCAACTCCTTGGGAGCTTGAGAGTGGAGATCGGCTTGTTATTTAATTAAGCAGGCAGTGAACCAGAGCTTCATGCAGGCCTTAAAGCTTCAACTGAGGTCGATTGCTAAGGCTAAGACAGGTTTATTACTTGAACATGGAGTGCTAGTTCAGTGTGCACAGTGCATTTGATTTTCCTTTGTGCAGTAGTTACTTGGGAATGCCTGAAAATGTACCTTAGAAATTCTTGGAAAATTAAGAATGCATATAGAAATTTTCATATAAAATATGTAAGTAAAAAACAAAACACGTTAGTGAATTTATGATGTTAACACTTACAAATTCTGATTATTCTGTCTTGCTTGTCCAAACTAATTGTATGCCCAACTTAAGACCTTAAGAAGATAACAATTCATTAAAATTATTTTAGTGAATTAATTCAACTTATCAAGTAGTAGTGGTATAAAATAATTTATGTTGAAAATAGTAATTATAAAATTACCTTAAAATACACTGTAATGATATCTATAATTATGTTTAGAATACAGTTTTATGTTCTTTTAATGCAATCCACAAATTCCTTTGGGGAAAAGCATTCTTTTTAGAAAAGCAACTTATTGAAAGTTTTCTTATCAGTATGTCTTCAAGATAGATTATTTTGACACTTAAACATGAATTGTTCTTTGCTTTAAAATGTGTTGGGGTGGTACATTTATTTTTTCCTCTTGCTTAACATGTGACTGTACGATGCGTAATTGTCACCTATAGTAATTTTTAGATGAAAGTACCTTTTAGAAACTATAACAATTTGTATCTCCTCTAAGCGAACGATGTTCAGCCAGTGAAGAAGCCTCATTTTAAAGGTGTGAAAAAGAGAAAATGGATTTGTGATGAGCCAAAGAACTTTTCTGGCTCTGGAATGCGGAGAGGTAAACTTTTCATATATTTTTCATTTCAAATTTGTAATTTAAAGAGATGAAATATCATATATTTCTCTTTTTTTTCTTTTTCTTTCTTTCTTATTCTTTTTTTGGAGATAGGATCTTGATATGTAGTTCAGGGTCACTATGTAGTCCAGGTTGGCCTCAAACTTGGGGCAATCCTCCTGCCTCAGCCTCCTGAGTGCTGGGATTACAGGCATGTAACCCAATGCCTGGCTTAAATGTCATATATTTTCTACTGGAAAAAAAATGCCTATTATGCTACTATGTAACATAAAGGTTACTTTATTTATTTATTTTTGTTTGTTTCCAGTACCAGGAATTGAACTCACAACCTCGCGCTTGCCAGGCAGGCGCTGTGCCACTGAGTTAAATCCCCAGCCCCCATAAAGGTTACTTTAAATGTAAACCCATTCCTCTAAATTTAGTTTATCTCTTGGGCTACCACATCCTAATAATACAATGTATAATCTAGTAATGTGAAACTAGCTTGTTGTATCATCTCTCTCTCTCCACCCTTTGTTTGTTTTATAACAGTACAAGCCCCAAATCCAAAAAATAAAATGAATTACCATCATCATAATAAAAACAGAAATGCTGAAAACGCATCCTATCTCCATGTCCGAAGAGATGCTGTCAGGACTGTCCCGCTGAGCGCACCTCCCTGCAGCAGACACACAAACGGGTCTATCAATAAAGCCGATGTTCACAAGGAACCCAAAATCCACGTCTGTCCAGGTGAGGCGCTTTACCGCCTAGTTGTACTCTGGCCTGCGCTGTGCATCCGCTGAATTTCCCAGGGACCTGGCTGAGCTTCACTGTCACCCCCATTTCTTTTTCTGAGCCTCACCATGCTCCACAACATTTTACCAACTAGTGACACGATTTCTTCTGTGTGCAGTTGTGCACGTGATTTAAAGGATTCAGAAGGAAGCTCCTGTCGGCTGCAGATGACTTGATAGCCCATTCTCCCTAGACTTCTGTCTCAGAGCATTGCACTTTGTTCCCCCTGGATAGCTTTACTTTGCCAGGGAGGATTGTTTTCCAATGGCTGACATTTCCTGTTTCACGAACTGCGTTGTGCAATTATCACCGTCAAGCTAGTACCTTGGCTGTCCTTTAGGCCCTGATGATTACTTTCTGAAAGGGTGAGTGTGGGGCTTAGCTGCAATATTTTTTGACAACCTCTTATCTCTCCCACCATGCACAGATTGCTTCTAAATCATTTCATCGTGTAATAGGCGAAGTCACAGTGCATGGCAGGAAGGAGGGGGCCACAGGGAAGAGGGGAACCAGCTCTCTTTCTCTTCCTATCTCAGAAGAATTTTGCTCTCCGAAAGTTGGGTTCCCTTTCTCCCAGTTTAACAAAGTGCCATTCACGTCTCTATAACTTCATGTGTGTATCTTTCCATGTTCACGGTGTAGCTCACAACTACCTCTTTCTTAGATTCTTTCTTTAACAACTCAGTGGAAGCTATGTTTGTTTACATTATTTCTCTGTTTCTTAGGTGGAACTGGTTTTTAGTTCTAGTTTTACTATTACCATTATTATATTGTTATTATTACTATTTTACAAGTATATGGATGTGAAGGACATAATGAGCACTGGAACAGTCTGTTGCTCCTGTCTAGATTTGTGTGAAAGTTGCCAGCAATTATATCTGTGTTACTTTTGCATCACCAGCACAAATAGCAACACATTTGCTATTGTTATAAACCACGCTTTGAGATTCACAGTTGAGTCATAATACTTAAAAATACAAATTGTTACATAATAGTTGAAATAGAGAACTGTTAGAAAGTATGTCTTTAAGGACTGGGTCAGTGTATAAATGCTTTGGCTTTCTGGGGCTGTAAATTCACTATTGCAGAGCGACTACTGTGATCATAGACATCACTTCATTAGAAGGAATCAGGACTCGGGCTGTTATCTCATGTTGCTATATTTTAAAAATAAATCTCTCCAAATATTAGTAAAATTGTGTATTAAATTATGGTAAAACAACAGTGTGAAAAATTTTCATTTCATCTAGATATCATTCTGTTCTCAAGCTTAGCCTCATGAGAGAGAGCCTTATTTGGATTAGGAGATCTATAACCATGTTCACTATAACTTAAAAGATCTTAATAAACTCACTTGTATTCCTGATGGTATAGCTTTAGCTAAATTAAATATTTAGAGAATAGATTCTCCACTGAAGTATTTACAACTCTGCAGCCTTTTGGAGTATGACTGGAAAGTTTTGAAATATTTAAAAGCAGTCTTCTTTTTTTCTCAGACAAATACACGTCAACATCATATAACGGTTCAGCCTGGAGGAAAAGAATTCCTTTTCCAAAAACATATTCAAAAACTGAAAAGATATATACAGGTAAATATCGACTAATGATTTTAATGTATCATGCAATTCTAAAAATCACTAAGTTTTTAAGCTCAAGGAACATATTTTAGAAAATATTAAAATATATATTTAATCATTTGGAGCTTACAGTTGTCTTGTTTACTAGCACATCTACTTTGTTTTATTTTTTTCTCTTCCTGTGCTTATGTTCTGCCAGGAAACCTGTTCACACAATTCTTTCCTTGTTAACAGGCATAATAATTGCATCAATTAAATAATATGTTAAGATGAGACTTTTGCTGTACTGTAAGGCAAATATATAAAACTATATTGTGGCATAAATAAAATATCAGAATATCACAATATCTATTAGACAACCATGGGTTGGCCCAGGCTGACAGGGCATCCAAGATGAATTTTCTTGGCCAGGAGTTGTCCCATGAGGGCGCTCTCCCCATTTTTGCTCTTTGAGTTCTGGAAGGTGACAGGATCCTCCAACCTCTTGAGAGTCGAGGTTTCAGGTGGTCCTGACTTCAGCTTGTTGTTTTACTGAAACAGCTTTAATGTCTTCTCTCACTCTGTTTTGGGCTGGCTCAGTAAGTTTGGAAAATTACATAACATAAAATGATTTCAGTTATTTCTCAAACAAATGACCCAGTTGGAAAAAGTCGCATGTATGGAGCTCTTAGCTAGATAAGTAGCCTAAAACTTTCAAAATAGTGTGAAATCTACAAGCTTTTACACCAGAACTTCCCAGAAGGAACCAGAGCACACCGAGACGAGTCATCCAGACTCTGATTTACCTTTCTCAAAATAAAAGCTGGTGTGGCACTTCTTAAAACCACTTTTGACTGCAGCTGAGTCAGTACCCAGATCCATGTACTTATTAATATACTTGGAGACAGTTGGTTTTCTTTTTTCCTCATTTCTTCTTGAATCTTATTCTACTATGTATTAGTCACTTTGCCATTGCTGGACAAAATACCTGACCCCAGCAATTTAAAGGAGGAGAGGTTTTGGGGCTTGTGGTGTCAGAGGAATCAGTTCATGTTTGGTTGGCTGCAAGGCAGAAATAATAAGGCGGAAAGGCGTAGTAGAACAAAGAAATTTAGGTCATGGTGTCTGGGAAGCAGAGAATAGGCGAAGAGCATCAGGGACCATATACAGTACCCAAGATCAGGCCTCAATGCCCCAGCCTGACACACTCAAAAGTGTGCTTTACTAATACCTTAGGTGTCTCCCAAACCAATTATTAATTGGATAATCCAAGTTAATAGTCACACACTTCAAGAGAATTCTGCTGCTATTCAGATTGACTACACTTTCAAACTTTGTATGGTTTTTCCCATGTGACTACACTTCATTTAGGGTGAGACGAGGTACAAAAGAAGTTGCTGTAAATCTTAGATGAAACAAAATTTTGAGCTACGGCCTTTTCTCCTGATTTCCTTATGAGCAGGTTGATACTGAGGAATATTGAAGGATATGCTCTTCCCGTACTACCCCTGTCTCAGAGACTGCTCTTTCATCTCAGTAGCTTTCTCTCCTTCCATCCCAGATAATTAAATATGAATCATGGAAGCATTTGGGGAAGGAAGCATCACTTCAGAATGTGAAACAGGTACTACCTATGTGTACCATAGGCTCTCTGCATCCATGTAGAGCTATATTACATTTCCCCCTGCCACCTAGTGGCTAAGAAATCATTGGATTGGACTGAATTTATGTGTCATGGACTAGAAACATTTATTTCCATTCTTTCCCACCTGCCCATTGGAATGCAGTAAGAAATAGATAAAATTAGAATGATGTTTTGAAAATTTATGAATAAAACCAGTAAACATAGCTTTTGTTTTGTCTTAGATTTATGGTAAGTACCTAAAAAAGACATATGAACTATTGATGCCCCCAAAAAGACTGTAAAGGAAAATGAAATGTTTTGTGCATTTTATTGTTAGAGCCAAGAAGAAATGGGAGCAAGTAAACTTGGAGGTTGAGAGAAGAGAAAAATGAGAAAAGAGAAAAGTGCCAGCCATCATCTGATTTACAATCAAAAATGAAAATGCAAAGAATGAGATATTCAAGTACTCCATACTGTATACTGGATAGCCAAAGATGATAAAATGCAAATTCTGAAAATAAGACGCAGGAGTTACATTGTGCTCTTTCGAAACTGATAAAAATGCAAATTACAAACAGCTGCCTGTGTATTTATATAGGTCTGGAATTCATTCAGTGCATTACCACAAACATTTAATAAAATTTAAAACTTTGACAATTAAAATCATTCTTTAATCACAAACCAAGTAGATTGCACAGATTGAGAAGTAAAATTATGTATTTGATCTCTGTTTTGCAATATTCATTATGGAAGAAACATATTTTCTCTACCTAGATTTTAAGGTGGGCCCTCAGGAATGATAACACATAAAATATAAACAAATTCAAGGAAGTCCCAGGGTTACAGTTTGATGATGAGTACATTAGAGGAATTTCAATCCTTTGATGTGTGGTAGAGATAGATAGAGTTGGTTTATTATTCAGTGCAGTTACTGAACAATATCTTTTAATTGGCAACTACAAAATCTATCTGCTGAGATGTGCAGCATTCAAAACTGAGAATTATAACATTTGTGGGTCATGAAAACAAAAATTATGTGATCATAATGGGGAAAATAACATTTTTTTTTTGGTAAAAGAGTGAATTAATAGCATCATGCCCTAAAAACCTTTGTGAACTTTTAAGGCTTTAGTAACTCTAGAAATATACTATAAAGTGCAAGAGAGAACTCATTTTAGAGCTTAGTTTTATTTCCTTTGCATTTGCATAGATTTCACATTTTAAATAAGAAATTTTGTAGTTTTTAAAATATCAGTCAAAAATAATCATCTGCAGAATGACTGAAACAAAATCTATTCCTCAAACTGAAAAAACAAGTATGAAATTAATAAGAAGATTGTTTTCAAGTGATTATTTTTCTAAATTGTAGCATTTATACTTCTGAGTTTACTAAAGCTTAGAACTTCACTATGATTTTAGGGATATCCCCTATTTATATTTGCATGAAACATGGTGGTTAGGTACTTTTATGTCAATATTTATGGGGGATGAATGTTAGAAATATTTTATTTTAAAATATATTTTATAAAATGTAATTCCAATTTGTGGAGTAATGAGCCCTACTGTCTAGCTTTTTATTTTCTGTGCTGGAGCCTGAACCCAGGGGTGCTTTGTCACTGAGCTACATCCCCATCCCTTTAAAAATTTTTAATTTATTTCAAGGCATTTTCTCATTAAATTGTCCAAGTGGGACCAGAACATGCAGTCCTCGGCCTCAGCCTCCATTACAGGCACGTGCCATTGTGCCTGGCATGTCTGGTTTTGAATGGTGTTCCATGTCTTCACTTGTTTTTGTCATCAGAGTAGGTAGAAATGAAAACTATGCCAGCAAACGTCTTGGAGAGATAGTTTGAAAGAGGTGTAAGAAAACAGCTGAGGTGAAAAGCTGCTTAGATGGAACCTAGTAGGAGAAATCATATAATTCCATTTAACAACAGATTTATGTGCTTCTAAAACTGCAGCTGGTGAGGAGGGAAGGTTCTATGAAGGCAATTAAAATATCTTGTGTGAAGTACAAGTTCGTAGCCTGTGTCTTTATTGCATGCTCAAAGCTAAAGACTCATGAGGAAGGAGAAAAATCTGAAGCAAAATGTGCATGATTATACTTATGTTCCTGAATAAATGGACATTTTTTAATATAATAAATTTTGTCCAGAGGAACAACTAGACGATGACATTAAGCAACTCTGTGTTTGTATTTGTGATCAGAGAAAAGGCAGTTGGCTTAAAGGGGGCTAACTTATTATCCAAGGAGGAAGATGGCAAATGCCAAAATAAGAAAAGAGATAACAGAATAGACTGACAATCAAAAATTAATAAGCCATCTGCAGCCTGTGTTTGCTGAGTTCTGAGCATACAAATAGGGCTTCTGAACTAAATTTTCTCGATGTTAGTGGAGGGTATTTTCTTTTCTAGTACCTCCAAAAGCTTTTGATTAATTGTAGTTTTTTCTCATTGTGCTCTTTTTGAAAACGGCAGTGATTAAAATGATGGTAAAATGACATTTAATAGATGCTTAGTATATTATTTGTTTGTTAAAGGGGCCATAACAAAATGCCCCTTAGTGATTTTCTTAAATAATAGAAATTTTATTGTATCATAATGCTAGCGGACAGAAGTATGAAGTCAAGGTGTCAGCAGGCTGTTTCCTTTAGAGGTATGAGAGATGGCTGTTCTAGGTCTCTGTCCTTGGTTTGAAGATGACCATGTTCTCTGTATGTCTCCTTATTTCACCTTTCCTCTATGTGTCTCTGTCTGTGTTCAGTTTCTGTTTTTATAAAAAGAGAAGTTTTATTGGATGATGGCCCATCCTGATAAACTCATTTTAACTTGACTACCTCTGTAAAGACACTGTGTCCAGATAAGATCACATTCTGAAGTACTAGGGCTTAGGAACTAACATTCTGAGAAATTTTGAGAAACATGTAAAACTGTTTTCTGGACAATTCCAGGGTAAGTGAGTAAGTCTTAAAAGACAGATTGACTCTAGCATTTAAATCCCTCTAAGACTTTAAATCCCTCTATTTGTATGCTCAGGAAATGAAGTAGGTCTGGCATTTCTGGCTTACATACAATAGGCCACAATGTGGCCCATCTTTAAGCCCAAATCAAAAATCTCTGCTTGAGTCTTTTAACCTTTTAACTGAAAGATCAGTCCATGGTCCTCCATTTCAGTATCTTACAAAGTCTCAGGATATTGGCAAAATGAAGACAAATTTTCTGCCAAAGTATAACATGTGGCCTGTAGCCTAACTGCTGGTGGAATCATTATTTTAACTAAAATATCTTGAGCCTGGCTTTTATTGTTTGTTTTCCTGTCAGCACTCTGGTCTTCTGAGCTCCAACTACAATCACCCATCAAATTTTGTTTACAGTATTCTAAGGCTTCTTTAGCATATATCTTCAGAGCTTTCCAAACTCTTCCCACAAGCCAGTTCAAATGACTTCTAAACTACATGCTCAGGTACACTCACAGCAATGATCCCACTTCTCCAGTATCAATTTTCTGTATTAGATAACTTTCTTGTTACTTGGACAAAGTATATGACACCTACAATGCAAAAGAAGAGTGGTTTAATTTGTCTTACGGTTTTTGGGGTTTCTGTCCATGGTAAGCTGGTTTCAAGGCAGAAATAGAATGGTGGAAGGACATGGTGGAAGAAAACTGAGTCACTTTACAGTGGCCAGGAATTATTGAGAGCAGGGAGGATTACAGAGTACACCCTTAGTGATACACATCTTCCAACTGTGTCCTATGAACTCACTGATGGTTCAATTCACGATAAGTATTTCATCCCTATGATTCAATCATTTTCTAAAAGCTGCATCTTTGAACACATGAGACTTTTGGGAGGACATTCTCTATTGAAATCATAATAGTGAGATGAATCCTAAAGGAGAGTTAGTAACTGTCAAAGTTAATTTTATCATAGGAGTGGAGGAACTAGTTTCCCTTGGGTTGGAGCAGCTATGTTTAAAAAGATAAGATAAAAAGCTAAAGAAGTCACAACAAATTTAGGGGCTCAGTGTTCCCAGACTCATCAGAGTGTTTCTACTCCATTCCAACTTTTAGGATCACATTCCTGTCTTAATAGTAGCGTTAATAGTGCCAACCTGAGAATTGGTTTCTCAGGACAATCGGACATTCTAGGTTTGGTTTCTAGAAGCACTTGTGGCTACTGAACACGGTATATTTTTAAGGCAGACAAAGTATCTTTCAGGTAATTTATGCTGTGCTTGAGCTAGGTATTTGAATCCATTAGGTCACTTGTTTTCCACTTTTTTTCCTGTGATTTTAAGTGCAACCAGTGTCATGCTTGTTAATGTGACAGAAATATTTAAGGGTACCATATACATGGTCACTCTGATCCTAGTATCTTAGAGGTTCTTGATTACTTGTACCTAATGGTGATATTTTAAATATATCTCTATTGCCACATCATGCCATGGACGATCAGTATTTTCTTTGCTGCTGGAAACAGAGTCACTAGTGTCCTTAGCCAGAATATAGAACCAAATCTACATACTCCAGAGCCAGTTTAGAAAAATGCATCCTTAAAACTATGTCCCTGTACCACCACTTTTAGTTCCAAAAACTGTATTAACCAAGATCAGAGAAACAGAACCTATAGGATGTATGTGTGTGTGTGTGTGTGTGTGTGTGTGTGTGTGTGCAGTAAGGAATTGGCCTATGTTATTGGTGATGTTTGATGAGTCCAAGATATCAGGCAGTAGAGCAGCAAGATGGAGAACAAGAAAAGAGACGCGATCTGATCCCCAGGCAAACTACTGGAAAAGTCTGCAAGAGCCAGTAGCACAGGTAGAACAGGAAGGCAGTTTGGTGGAAAATTGCTTGTTGCTGAAGGCATCCTTTTATTCTCATCAAACCTTCTACTTATTGGATGAAGTCCTCAGACATTATGGGGGGGAATCTGCTTTGTTTAGAGTCCACCAGTTTGAATGCAAGTCTTACCATAGGAACATCCAGAATAATGTTCAACAAAGCATCCAAGCATCATGGCCCAGCCAAATTAACACATAGAGTTAATCATCACATTGGATTTAACTGTATGATACAGCATGTTCATACTGTTTTAAGACCAAGTAGTTACAATCCTTTATCTACCTTTGCCTATAACTAACAACATTTTTGCAGATTCCAGAGATCAAGATGTAGATGTGTTGGAGGAGCCATTTTTCTGCCACAGTTATCTTCCAGACACATAATAAAAATGAATATAGCTAACTATGTAGCAGGCACTATACTAAATAAAATACAGTAATACTTCAGTTCCCCAATGCTACTGTTTGTAAACAACTCCATTTGTTTGCAAACAAAATCGGTGGCAAATTTTGCTTCCTTTGGAAAACTGCAATGACTGACAAACATGACCGTGGCCATCTTCCCCACACAAACACAAGTGCAGCCATCTTCCCCCAAATTGTAAAACCAAGTTCATTAAGCGACATACCACTGCAATTAACTTAGGCCCTGACCCACAAATAATCTAAGAATTATTATTATCCTTGTTAATGCAAATCTTCATGTCCCTTAATCTTACTAAATTATTTGTAAGCAGAGGCAGCATGATACCAGGCCTATGGCTCCAGGCCAACCCACTTCATTAGCCTGGAAGAAAGTCTGATTTCAATCCTTTTCCTTA